TCTTATGCCCGTCGCATAATACTCTCGTGTACTCCAAGAATGTTGACTTGGCAGATCTTTAACTACAGAGACTTCATTTTTCAGGGCATCAATAAAGTGGTCAGCATCAAAAATATCTGTAAATGAACTTCAGAAAATGGGATTTCAGGTCAGAAGTGTCTGTTTATGTTTAGGAACCAATACGCATAATCTTGAGCATACAGTACCTTGAATCTTGCCAAACAGGATTCACTTCAAAGTGTGGAAGCACAAGTGTAGCATTTAAAATTTTAGCAACAGCTACGGCATCACAAATCTTCAAAAGGGACAAATGGGAAATTAAGTAAGTATTAAAAGACATTACATATTGATATCATTATTAGAATTCTTTTAAGCAATTCACAGATAACTCAAGATATCATACACAACAGAAGCTACAACTGAAGCCACCTTACCCCCATTCGCTGCTGATTCAGTCCTCCATCAAGAAACACTTGAATGTAGCCCTGGGACTTTTTGGGCAAAGCTACAAAAGCAAATACAGTTTTGTATTGGACCATCAGAAGACAAAGAAACTGGGCCACATTTCTCCAAGAAAGTTTATGAGCCAAATTGGCGAAACATCAACAAGGTAACAAGGAACAATTAGCAAACTGAAAGGACTCACAAGATTTAGCATGTGAGTCAGCACAACGTTTCCATCCTTGGTCGGGCAAGGGAGACCAGAGTTCTGATTCTTGTTCACCAGACTGAAAGTTGAATGATAAAACAGATTAAAAGAACTACTAATTCCAAGTTCCCAAGATCATTTCTGGACCAAAGCTATAAACTTAGCACCTACTCACTGTTTGTTGTTGTAAAGCCCCATTCATCAATTCCAAATGCATAGGTCTCGGAGCATTCCATTCCTAAAATTGCAAAGATACCTCTGTGTGACATAAAACATCAATGGCAAAGAGTAGTTGCTCTGATTTGCAAGTAGAAAGTTGCAACAAAAGTTTGAGCATTCCAAGCCTCTTAAGCTCGTCAAATAGCCAATCATCGTATGATTTATAGCTAAACGAAAATAAAATCTGCATTAGGCTCAGAGGGAAAAGTTAGCAATCAAATTTATCCAGACAGCAGGGCTGTATAAACTCAGTTCATCATAATATAAACCACCAAACTACAGTCTTCTCAATTTCCTGGCATCCCAAGAAAACTCTCCAAACGAAAAATTACAACTACTCCAAACAACAGAAAAATGCACTTATCTCGACTATATCAGCAAATTATGAAAAAGAAAACCCCCGCCAAACAAAATCCAAACTTCAACAATCCCAGAAACTAAAAGGAAAAAAAAAAAAAAAAACCATCGTACAACTAACTCTTCAGGAGTTCAAATTCAAGGGGAAAAAAAAAAGCTTCCAAATGCAATAAAAAATGACCACAAAAAGAAAAGAAAAAGACAGGGACATTACAGAGAAGAGGGAGGGATAAGCACGGCCCAGCGGAGTGAGGAGGCCGGGAAACAAATTCGGTAGTAGCAGCACAAACGCTCCTCCCAAAGCCCATCTTCGAGTTTGAGATTGCAATTGCTGCTGATTTCTGTTGTTCATCTTAGTATTAAATTCTATTCTATGTTAACCTCTAACTTGAGTTCTTCATCTTCGAGTTGATTTCAAGGGATCTCTTCACGATCCTGGCTTCTTCTTCGACGACAAATCTCACGTTTGGCAACACCCCTCGTCTTAGGACGATGATGGTAGCTATTTCCTCTGTCAATCGGTTTTGCTTAGCCCAACTATTGGACCTCCTCTATCTATCAAATTATCACTCACCTCTCGGCCCTTCTAATGATTTGGGCTCAAATCCTCATCTTACTGGCCCAAATTTTGCCCCCTAATTTCTTTATCCCTCAAAAAAAGAAAGCCCCCTATTTTGCAACCAATACCAATCACATTCAAATTCCTGAACTAGATTGCATTCTCAAAATTTTCTGACATGTGACTTTTGAAACATCATTCCCTCATCTGTTTGTTTTATGTAGTAATAAAAAAAAAAAAAAGACTGGTTGTGACGTTATCTCGATGAGATTTTGGTCTAGTGATTAAGAATTAGAGATTCTAGATTCAAATCTCTGTCCCCTTCCCGCTTCTCTCCTGCTAAAAAAAATGAAAAAAAAAGTTGATTGTGATAGCATTAGCCAGTTGACCATGAAATTATTAGTTTAACTCTCAGATCTTCCCACTTTACATTTTAATTTTTAAGGTTTAGAGTTTCGATTGAACCATGACAAAGTTAACAAAAAAATTCAAGATTCTGAATGTTGTGGAGTCGACCACGTTTTACAGGCCTTATAACAAGGGCCCAGACCAAGAGAATTTGGAATTCCTTTAGCAAGGCAATGGCCCAAACCCCAATCTATCACTTTTATAAGGTTAGCATTAGGGATGGCAACAAGGGCAGATGCCCCTGCAGGGGGAGTAATGGGGCGTGAACGAGAGAAAATTTTTCTCTCCCCATTTTAAATGGGGTGAGGGGCGGGGATCAACTCCCGCCCCATCCTCCGCTTCAATTTATTAATATAAATAAATATAATATATTATATAATCTAATAATAATAATTTTAGAATATTTGACAACTAAATATAACATTTATTCCATTTCTATCCAAATTCCTAATTGATATTTAGCACAAGCATATTACGTATTCTATAAGTATTCTCAAATGTTATCTATACAATCCAATTGAAGGCCTATTTGGAACCTTGGTTTTTTACCAAGTTTGTATAAAACTATTTTTTAATAACTTTTGTTACAGAAATCCTAAAAAACTTATCAAAATTTTTAACCTACACATTTCAAAAATACACAAAAGACTTCTCCTTCAACTTTTCTTCTTTTTCCTCCCCACCCAACCCACCACGTCCTCCGTCGCCGGCCACCACCTCCACCATCGCTACCGGCGCCGGTCACTATTCCGACCTTCCTCTTTTTTTTTCTCTCTCCCTCACCCCTCTGCTCCTCTGTTGGTGCTTTTTTTTTCTTTCTCCCTCCCCCCTCCCCTCTTCGCCTCTGCCTCCCCCACCACCCTCCCTCTCCCCCTTTCACCGATCTGGTCGCTCGACTAGATCGCAGCTAGGGGAGGGTGGCGGGGAGGGGTGGCGGGGAAGGAAGGGGAAGGGGAGAGGGAGAGGGAGAGGGAGAAGAGGGATGGCGATGGAGGGAGAGGGGAAGAAAAAAAAATCAAAAAAAAAAAAAAGAATCACCTGTTAGTTGCTACCATGGAAGTTTCGGGAGAGGGAACAGGGGAGGGAGAAGAAGCGGGAAGGGAGGAAGGAAAAGAAAAAAGAAAAAAGAAAAAAGAAAAAGAAAAAGAAAAGGAAAAAAAATTTCATCTTACAAACACCCAAAATTTTTCTACAACTTCTACCGTGATCAACAGTAAAATTTTATACAAACACCCAAAAAATTCATCTTCCAAACAGGCCCTAAGTTTTTAAATTTTTTTGATATTTTATTTCAACACTTTTTTTGTTTCACTTTTTTTGTTTCACTTTTTTCAATTTTGTATTTTATTTTATTCTTTGAATTTAGTTTTGATTTATTGAATAAAGGCTGTTAGAAAAAAAAAACCAAATTATCATTCGTGGACATTCGCAAGAAAAGCGAGGCAAGGCAGAGGGTGGGGGGAACGAAAATAGGAGGAGGCGGGAGTTTTTGGCAACGGGGGTGGGGGATCGGGAGGGATCCCCGCTCCAAATCCGTCCCGTTGCCATCCCTAGCATCAAGAGATTCCTGAAAAGGTGACACGGGGCCCACTGCATTCCCATTTCCCAAAAGACTGATACAAAAGTAGAGCAGAATAGTAGCGTCGTCTTGTAGTTGGGTGGGAAAAGCTCTGCCTATTTATGGCAAAGACTGACATAAGTTACATAACATGGGACATTGCCATTTGTAACCCCCAAAAAGTTTCCTGAGTATTGCTTTAGCCGCTATAGTAAGGAGTAATTCCATGTGGACCCAAAAGTGATTATTGTGACGCTTGATTTCCACAGCAAATTTCGACATTTTTATGTTCCCAGTGAGCACTGGTATTGTGGCCCCGAGGGTTAGTTCAAGCGGTCAGCTCTCCCTCTTTAACGTATGGTAGACTTACCCGAGCAATCAGAGTTCGAGCCCCCTTACTACGGTACTTGGAGTGGAGTGGAGCCTTCTCTCCTAGGCCGGAGTGGGATTAGTCGGGCCAAAGTTCCGGATACCCACTCCGTCAGAGAAAAAAAAAGAGTACTGATATTGTTGATCTACTATACGTTAGTATGTATAATTCAGAAAAAAAAAATTTATATGGCTTAGAAATAGTTATACTTTCCATATAACCTCACAAAACACATAATAAACTTTTGGCGTATTATACTTTTCAAATTATACTTCAAATATTTGGAAAAGTTTTAAATTTATGTATATCATTATTACTCAGTTATGTTACATGTAGAATGACATCTATGTATGTCATTATTTTCTATATATTTATACATGCACACATGATGGGGTGGTAAAATCTTAATAAATTCAGTGGCTAATATACAAGAGTAAGAGTTAAAAAGTGTTATATGTACCATAATATTTAAAAATTATAGTAATTTTATCTCTATTTTTAGCTTCATAAATTTCAAATATATTCGTACTACTATTCATGTCTGAGTTTTTGCTGAACTTGTATGTTTTTGTGCCAAACTTCTAATCAGACATTTGAAGAAAAATCTCTATAATATAAATATGTACTATTATAGTTTATATATACCAGTTCTATATTATCCAAACAATGATTGGTAGTCCAAAAACACATAATTCATGCTTTATGGAACAAGTATATTAACAGAATCGAACAAGTATAATTCATGCTTTATGGAACAGTATATTCTCTTGGCTTGTAGAATTTTGACCATTTTGAGCGCTTTGAGTTTCATTTCTTCATCCTCGCTGTACTTGGTAATTGACAGAAAAAGTCCTTAAAAGACTAGCGCAGTCACTTGTTCGGTGGAATCCAGGCAAGCTAGGAAATATATTAATTCCTGGTTTAAGAAAAAAGGACCAGTAGCCTTTCACTGCAGTAGTTGTTTCATGTCATCTCTAGATAAATAGTTCTACCAGCAGCATTTCATATTATTAGGATTAACTTTTCAGCTGAAGCCCGGAAGCAAGTTCATACAAAAGAGTACAAATCTTGATTCTGGTTGAAGCAGGTGCAAGCAACACGAGCTTTTTTACTGCACCTTAGGGCTTTGGAGGCAATCGAGCCATACACAGCAGACTCTTAATTTATGACAGGAGTAATACTTCATAGGCTTACCACTATCTTGGTAACATATAGACATATAGATGGAGAGAGCTCCATTTCTTGATCCATGTTTACTAGTAGTTTTTAAAGGTAGGTCTCCATAAGCTGTGCACCGTCGGCTAGTTAAAGGGTAGCCTGAAAGGAAAAAAAAAAGAGAGTGTATTACAAGTAATAGAGAACAGTAACAAGACCGTAGAGAAAGTACTCAGGATAATGCCAACATATATATGTGCATAATTTACTATATAGTCAGAGAAAGATCTCACGAAGAACCTCAGAAGCATTGGTTGTAGAGTACTGTTGGAAAATAGAGCATAAAAATGGATATAAAGACTTGGTATTGAAGGCTGAAAAAGACCTCAGATTTCTCATTAAACAACTCTCTTTTGACAGAGAGAAAGTGCAAGAAACAATTCTACATGAATCTTTTCCTAACAAACCTCAACATACTTGAGCTAGTCAAAAAGACAAAATTAAATTTGAAGCTACTTCGAATTTCTAGACTTATTCAACTATTACTTTCATTTATTCTAGTGCTAGAAAATCTGCAGTTAAATTGCTCGTCTCAAGAAGTACTTTAGCTAAACATTCCTCTAGAAACATTCATCACTAGCAAAGATGAAGTTAATCCTCACTGTACAAAGCTATCCAACTTTAGATTCTCAAGTACAGAGAATTCTCTGAAGCACAGAGAATTAACCTCACCAGCGCATTTAAGAGGCAGATTGGCGAATTGTTCAATTCTCAATAACCAGGGCTAAACTTGCAATTGTTTATAAAACAGTAGAAGTGTTTATGGAGGAAGTTAGAGATTAGTCCACTGACAAGCATGGAAGCACCGGCAGTACAAAGACACTTACCCTAGTTTGAGTGATGTATCTGAGCAGTCATCCTCCGGAGGAGGGCCACTGTTGCAGCTGCAAACATTGGTAATGGACTCTGAAGATTGGCCTTCTTCAATCAGCATATCCTTATCCAAGTCTGGAATCACTGGCCTCTTCCCTTCATAAAGCATTGCCATCTGTGTGGCCAAAAGTTTCAGCTACAATGTTAATATAACCTGTCAGAGAAAACTTATTTATACTTGAGTAGACGATCGTACTTTTTGCTTCAGTTGCTTATTTTCTTCAAACAGTTCTGCACCCTGCCAGAAGATAAAAGGCGACTTATAAGCTTAGTATAGGAACTGATGCTTATAAATGTTGACTATAGAGGCCTATTACTACTGACCAGAGTTGTCAAAAGAAAGAATTACTGAAATGCATTAATAGGAAAAAGTTTGTGTCTGCAACTCTAACCTTCTTTTGAAGGGCATTGATCTCATTCATGATGCGTTCACCCTAGAATTAAGATAACATGAAGAAGTTAGGTTAGTAAATTTGCGACCCTCCTAAATTTTAGATGAAAGCTAGTGAAAGTGAACTGGGAACCTTCGTTTGAAGCACACGGGTTAGTCCTGCTTCCAGCACTTTTTCTAACTGCTGCAGCTCCTCTATCTTTAACCCTTGAAGGTCCTCACCCTTCATTTGCCTGATCGACAGGATCAAATGATTTCATCTTGCTAAGATTCAAATAAAACTAAAAATCCATAATGGAAAACAGTATTTATTTTCCGTTTCTAATTTGTACCTTAGCTGATGAGTCCTGTCAGCAACTTCCTTGCTCAATCTAACATGGCAACTATTCTCTAGCTAAAATGAGCAAGAAAAATTAGGATCACTATGCATATACAGCAATTAATGGGAAATACTCGATGAAACTTGCACTTGCACTTCTTGAACAACTAGAAAATGATGAATGACTTACTTTGGTTTTGGCGTAAAGTAGCAAAATACATTTAACAGACATATATGAGCAGAAAGCTAGCCATGAGAAAAACAAACGGAGGGAGAGAAAGAAGAGGAGTATGGAGTGATGATAGATTTGCTTGACCCTAATCAGCAGATGCATGCATAAGGCTGAGTATTAACAAATCCTAGCGTAAAGAAGGGAAGGAGGCTAAAGGAAGAAACTTCATTAGGGACAATACACATCAGTCATCTTCAACATTTCACCGACAGCCCCAATGGTTCATCTTGCTTTACAACAATTTAAGTTTAGTACATTTTCATTTGTTCCAATTGAGCATAAGCTAATCTCGCAGCGCAGTGAAACATCCAAATCAGATTAGACTTTGTTTAATGTAATTGTGTGGCAAAGTAAAACCGAATAATGCATCGATTGAAGAAAGCAGCACCCATTCACAGCATATCAAAATCAACAAGCTTGTTAAAAAGAATCTTAAAAGTAGGTATTAAAGAGAGTCGATATTTTCGACTCAAAATTATTCAGTCAAATTTCATCTTGTCATTTCGCAAGCACCCTAGACGAAACAAAGTTCACCCAGTCACTTTACAACCAAAGAGAAATCGTAAAATATTCCTCTACATACCGAAAACAGAACCACTTATTATTCAAAATTTTCAATGCACTTAGTAATATCCTTCTCGAAATCTTTAGATGAAATGCAAGTTCAGAACAAATGAGACATATTTCCAATGTGTTTAAGGATGAAACAACAGTTTTGCCAATCATCAGCTGGGCAATGTTGGTAATGAGATCAGTACAGCCAAGAGTATACGAGGAAACCATGAAAAGCGTTAACAAGATAAAGCCCGTGAAGTTGACTGGATCTCTAGAAGAAAGATGACACAGATGCAACGCCATGTTGTAATACCTGAAGCTCAAGCGATGGTTGCTCAGTCTTCTCGAGGTTACTTGAATGTAACTTGTACTTTCCAAGGATATCACTCATGCTGCACAAAAATGCAGGAGACTAGAGTTACTTATGATGTTCTCTCATCACAATTTGTCAGAACTTCAACCGACGCTACTTTGAAGAAACATTGCCACAAAAAAAAGAGAAATAAAAATAAAAGTCCTTCTCTGTAAAGCATTTAAAAGGTAAGGATCGTGAAAAGAGCCACTCATGGTCGGCTGATACCATGTTCCCATACTAAACTCATATCCACCACAAATTTTAAAGCCCAAGTAAAAGTAGAAAATACAAACAGCTAAAAGACAATTTTTGTTATGGAGAGCATTTGACATTTTTATTTTAATAAGATTTCCTTTACTTTTACATATGAAGGAAAGCGAGGTAAATTTAATTTGAGTTAACATATTATAATTCATTTTCCAAAATCCTATTTTAGTACACAACTTATTACACCAAAAGTAATATAGGCATTGGAAATTTACAAAAGAATTTGATTGAAGATAACATTACCTCTATTTTGAAAACACGTCAAGTTTCTGCTATAGATTACAATACATGAATATTGCAACTAATCCTCACATTTTGGTAGGACAAATACTAATTTAAAATCAGGAGAGATTGACAATTCGATGGGCTTTGAACCTAGGACCGCTAATTTCTAAATCCTATTTTTATAGTTTCTACTTATACAATATTTAAAACAGATTACCTAGAATATAAAAATGCAATAATCTGTTCAGTTTTAAGTTCTATTAATCTGTTTGATAATTCCACTTAAAGTTGAAAATTAATTCATTCAGAGTTTTTGAATTCAACATGTTTGATAACAGAAATACCTTATCACTTAATTTATTAAGCACACCGTAATTTGTGTATAAAATTTCAAGTAACAAATTTTCACTAAATCTTCCGAATTGACTACACATACCATGCCACTCACACACATAACACGCTCATACTATTCTAGTACTTGGTACACATTTCTTTCCTTTATATTCAACACACACACATACACGAACGCACAAGCATGCACACACCCTCTTGCATGCAAATGCACATACTTAAATACCACCTCTAAATTCCTTCATTTCTCTCTCACACAGACGCACATTTTTCTTTTTTCCAAATATACAAATAAGGGCAATTTTTTTTAAAAAAATGTCAACAAAATATTTGTGATATTTGAATACAGTATTATAATTTAGTTAATTATCAAACGATACAACTTAAATAATTTAGCAACTCAACACTTTTAATGGCCTTGTTTGACAGGCAAGTTTTTTCCCAAGTTTGCTTGCTACAAATTATTTAAAAATTTTAATTACAATAATTTCAAAAAAAATTTCAAAAATTTTAAACCATACACTTTAAAATATTCAAAAATTTACACACTTTCAAAATTTTTTAAAAAACTTCTACAATAAACTATAGTACAGTTTTAGACAAATATTCAAAAAACTCACTTGTCAAAGGGGCCAATATTTAATTTTCACAATTCAGATTTCAAGTTTATCAATCAGGCACTTAGTTGACCTGTTAGTTTATAATTCATGATGACAGGACAAAAATACAGTGCCCTACATATCGCAAGGCCATAGTTATCGTATAACAAGCATGACAAATGAACAGAAGGTCAGCACAACTATCAGTTATTTGCAAAGGTTGCCAGTTAGCATTAAAGTAAATCAAAGACTCGATTTGCCTCACGAAAATGTGTGAGACACCTTTACGGTATTTCTCAATTTTGAGTAGAAGGAGATTCTATGAGATTGGAAAGTGATATTCAAACTCAAAACATTTACGTTCGAATAGCGTAGTTAGCTATTCACCATTGATCCAACGCCTTTTCAAAGTTAAAGTCGAAGTTTCAAACCATCTTGGACATGTCTAATATATAAAATATGTATTAAGCAAATACAAGCTACAACCTAAACCATTCCACCCAAATTCACAGGTCCATTCAAAATCTGGAGGACTAATATAGAGTACGTATTTAAGCAAGAAGCTCAAGGATTCCAAAAAGTGCAATCCTCGGGGATGCAACAGGTGCTGAGACATTTATGATTAGAAATTTATGGTTAAAAAAAATCAGTGCAAACAGATGGAAAGTTATGTTATCATTACTTGAACCGGTAGTTTATGACATCAACCATGCAAGTGTTCCATAGGCACATTCCTCTTCCTAGCATTTAGTTGACTGTAGATATCGTTCATCCATTCTACAACATGCAATCATTTCCAACTGTAATTTTTCTTTGTTTTTTCAGGTTTTTTGTCAGAAAGAAACACAAAACATGTTCATTACACCAAGAGATAAACATTATCAGAAGTATGATATAAAATGAAATACATGTACAGATCTGTTTAAAGAAAAACAAAATTACGAGTACAGAAAATTCAGCTTGTCATTGATAGGTTACAATACAATTACATAAGTAATTAAAAGTAGGTGACCTCCTCGAGTTATGTTTCTTCAAAGTGAATTTAATCTTTTTATCTTTGGCTAGTAAAAATGCTTGCTTGAGTCTTTTATTTTTTTGCCATCTCAAGTCAAATTGCAAACCTGTCATATCATGGACTATGCAGTCAACCATTGAGTTATCAGCCCAACCAAAAATAAATCCTACCACTGATTAAAGCATAAAGGAGAGAAGAGAAATTCAAATCGTGATTTCCAGCCTTGTGCACAAGCATATGTGAAATTCTTTTAAGGAAAGGCCAGAAAAGTACACAAAAATGCGGCCAAGTAATACTCAAACCTAGAAGCCATGACTCGCCCATTATCAGACCTCGACTAGAAATCTTTTTACGAATACTATTTACTCTTACAGAAATTCCTTCCTGTATCCAGAACTTACACATATGACCTGAAGCAAGTACAAAAACTGACAAGAGGCACACCTGAGTGAAGTTTTGTTATCATATCAGGGACTAGGGAAATACAATGGAATTTCTCTTACCTCTTTATCACGAATCTACTGGTTAGCCCCACAAAACAGACATATGCATGCATGCCTTATCTAGGTATGAGCAAAATATGCGTTTGAATTTAGATAGCAGACAAACCACAAAAAAGGGAACTCATGTAAGAAAGAATCCAAAGTGGACTGGATACAGGCTCCTAGAAACCAGACAGAATTTGGTCCAAGTAATCATTTTTAGTGTTTTCTTGTGGTTGTCTGTTAGCGTGGAGCCATTTTATGCAATGATCCAACGAAACTACCAACTGAGACATATTTTAGCGATATGGCAAGCGAATTTTTTTAATGCAAGCAACTTTTGAATAAGCTGCAAGACAAGGTACTATATAGGAAGTTGAAGACAAGGTACTACAAAGGAAGTTGAACCAAAATGATGCTAAGTTAATCAGTGGCTGCACATGAGGATGAAAGATGATTTTGTGAGCAAACATTAATTTCTAATAGCTACACCCTTAAAAAGATAGTTCACATGCAGCCACTGAAACATGACAGGAAAACACTTTCATTGCTGAAATCTAGCTACAATGATTTGTTCTGACATCCTTCGGAGTGAGCTAAACACAAGATCATGCCACAGTATATTAGATGTTTTAAAAGAAGTAAGACAACCGTTGGCATCTATATTACCAGGCAGAATTTTAAGTATCTTAATATGAAGTTTTTCTTTTACAAAAAGGTTTTCATTTTTACTGTTTTATTGTCCCAACGAATAACATACACCGTGCAACTAAAGATCGCGCAGTGTATATAGTTTACACTTACAAAAGTGTATAATCGATTTTTAGATTTATTTGGTATCATCCAATTAATACAAAGTTTTGGCAGGTTAATCGGTGAAGAAAATGATAAGATTGATTTGACCGGTGATCTCAAATGACTGCTTCGTTTCTTTATTTTATGACCATTAATTACGAACCAATTAAACCAGTTGGTGATCTTATATGACTGGTTCGTTTCTTTATTTTAGAACCATTAATTAGGAACCAGTTAACTCAGTTAAGATAGACTTTCAAATTAATCGTTATTCTATGATCATAACTTAGCAGCTTCTAATTGCATGAAAAGGAAGTTTCACTACTCCATATTCTTCCCTTTAGCATCTCTCAAACGCTAATGCTATGAGTGAAATTAAAAATCAAGAATTTGAAAACATGAAATCTACACCGCTTAATTTCTGATGCAAGTAAACATCCTGGAGAAAATTAAACTGAACATTTTGAGATTCGCGCATCCATTTCGTGAAGAGACTAATGGAATTGTGCAGCTCAAATGCTCCTTTCTAGCAAGTCAATCAAAAAGAATGGTCCATGGAATTGTACCGTTTCAGATTGATATACAAGATGGAGAAGAGTTTCCTGCTATGATCAAATAATAATTAAGCTACTTCTGAACGTGGGAGCTGGTGAAAATTTTGGAAAGAAACTGCGAAGCCCAAGTGAGAGCGATTTACTAGTGTGATGAAATAGTCTAGTACCCTTTAAAATCGGAGAGACATTCCTGGAAAGAAAATGTGAAATCCATTGAACAAGTGAGACCTATTTACTGTGATCAAGTAAGTTAGGAGGAGTATAACTTACTGAACGGAAAACCGAGAGCTGGGTCGATAAGAAACTGAGTAAAAAGAAGCCAAAAAAAAAGAAGTTGTGGGGTTCAAGTAAAGTAAAGAAAACTTTGAAGATTGAAAAGAATCTTTACTAGGGTTTCTAATTTTAGCAATTCTTAAATGTTACTACTATCGGTAAATATTTAAAACTTAAGATAAAAGGAGTACGGGTAAGGGGTAACGAAGGAGACCAGAACTTTTATTGTAAATTACTTTCTGTTGTTTGGTTTTGGGTCAAAATATATTTGGAGCTGAGCTAAACACTTCTCATGTCAGTGGTCACAGTCTTGATTCCCTATCGTCTAGTCACCTGAATTAAGAAGAGCCGATCTTCCCAACAAAATGTTGCTGACATCATCTTCTCAGACCCTGCCTATATCTAGAAAGAGAGACGGAAGGAAAGAGGGTAGAGAGATGGAGAATGAGACACATCTAATACTGTCTCTGTGTGTGTGTGTGTGTGTATATATGAACATGATAATGAAGCCACCCCAGCTCTCATCTTTGCATTAAAAAGTTACTAGTATACCATATGATTATATATAGGGTAGGGTAGGGTTAGATTTACCTTGAGCTAGCGAACTCGAAGAGCTTGCCAGTGGCTGAGAAGATTATGAGGGCAACATCAGCATCGCACAAAACAGCAAGCTCTTCAGCTTTCTTGAAAAGCCCTCGTCTCCTCTTGGAGAAGGTCACCTGCCTCGCCGTGATGTTATCGATTTTCTTGATTTTGATCTTCTCTCTCGCCATTTTTTCTTTTCGATCGCCTTGATAATTACACCCAGAGGGAAAAGAACATCAAAGATGTTGCAATAGTAGTGTGGTACCACGAGCAGGTGGGTTTGGCAAATAATTTTATGCAGCAATGGGAAAAGAGAGTATTAAATAGAAACGGGCACAGGAAAGAGGCGCAAAAAGTGGTCGGTGTGGTCGCCGGCAGGTGCAATTTTTTTCCAAGGAAATCAGGAGGAGGATTAAGTGAGCAAAAAGCAACCCTAAAGAAAGAATACAAGTACAGATCTGAGCGAAAAAACCCAGAAAAGCCCACCAATTGATGTTCATTAACATGCAAGCTGGGGAGTGGGAGATGGGGTGTGCAAGGATATTGAGGGGTTGGGGGGATCGGTACTGTTTACCTTATTGGGTACTGGAGTGAGAGGGTGAGGAGCTGCAGGAGATGTTCTTTGTTTCGTGCGCTGAGTAAGAAACAGTTGTACTCTTAGCTTAACACCACTGTTGAGCTCAACTCCTCACGCACAACACCAGCTTCCAAACAAGAAAAAAATATATCCTATATGGAATCGAAAATATCAAAAGAAGCCACCAATTAGAGAGAGGGAGGGAAGAATTGGGAACAGAAGCCCCATGTCAAGAAAGGAAAGTCCACTTTCCCTTTTATAGCAAAACCAATCGCTCTTTTATCCTCAGTTTTCCACATTTGCCTAAACCTAAGAGGAGAGGAAAAAAATCTGAGCGGCCTAAATGTAGACTATTTGTGTGTGCGTGAGAGAGAGAGACTGGAGAATGTGTGTCTTCTTTTGTTTTCTTTTTCTGTGGATATCCTAAGTTTGGTTCTGAAGGAAGAACGTGAGTTTTAGTTTAATGAAGAAATATTCCTGTTTCAACTAGAATACAATTTTCTTTTTCTTTTTCTTTTTTTTTGTTTATACAGAAATAATGAGGACTGGGGAGCTGTGCCTCGCCTGTGGTGGGTGTGGCTTTTCTTTTTCTTTTTTTTTCTTTCATATTATGTGGACGATGAGATGTCCGTACAGATAGACCGCGCTGCATCACTATCATGGATGGCCATTATTACCTCTTCGTACACTTTCTCACCATAATCAACAAACCTAAAAGTCTTTTCACCAATTTGCGCGATCATGATCCACATTTTTTGGGTAGGAAAAAGGTTAGGTGCTTCGGATCCGAACATCACCGGTTAGGACGTACGTTTCAGAAGTAAAGGTCACTCGCAGGAATTTTTAAATATGTTTGATTCTTATTAATTGAGTCAACTTATGTTGAGGATTATCCGCTTTCTTTATTTTGCCTGACATGAGTAGAGTATATAGGTACGAAGGAATGGATAATATATAGAATCACCTAATGTTTCTCTTTCGGGAAATTTATAGCATATATACTTGACACATCATGATCGATTTCCTCTGTTGATTTTACGATTTCAATTTACTAATATCCATAAAATCAAAGATAACAAATAAGAGTATAATAACTAGGAAATAGACATGAGATAGAGAAATTGGAACGTTTTTTAGGTTGTAAATCTATTGCCTTATGGTATGAATTATCTGCCAAGTGAGGGGCATCATAGGTACTTTACTGTACCACGAAACATAAGTGTAATTATTTAAACCTTGGAGAGTCAAGTGAAACCCTTAATTTATCTATTTCCCACCGAGCGTTTAGTTTAACCTTCCGTTGACACCACTTTTGGCAAGTAGCAAAATTTGTTGTGTTTTTATACATTTCTATTTTGTACGGTGACTCAATTATTGTGTTAGTGACTTAATGTTGATATTTGACTAGATTGTCCACTGCAATGTTGACAAACTGCACTTTAATTTATCCATATTTCCAAGCAAGTGTTTAGCTAAAATTCCCAAATTTGTGTTTCGATAATGCCTCCCACTAGATTGTATTTACAACATTAATAGCTTGAAATTGTGTTAAATCAGAATACCAAGATTTAAGTTAACCAAGCACGAAAAAGAGTCTATAATGTTGAAGGCTTTAAATGAAAAATCCAAACACATGCGTTAATAACAATTACTTCCTTCCCTTGCCCCAAACTGGAAAACGAAGTTGGCAGTGATTTTTTTAAATTTAATTTAGGCCATGTTTGGATTGCTTGTTTCCGTCAGAAAATATTGTCGTTTTCTGTGATTACATTTCCCTATCACCTTTTTCCCTCACATATATCAAATCGCTACAGTAATTTTTCCATGAAAAATGACGGAAAATGCAATCCAAACACAACCTTAATTTGAGGCCTAAACCAAATGTATTAACTGCATCTGATCATATGACTCTGGAGGTTTTACCAATTATGCAACGTTCATGGAGCTATATTTACTTAACCCCCTATGATGTGTCACGACATTTGGCTCGAGCCAAGCAATTAGCATAGCCTATGCAATTGAACCATACACTTGAGTACTTGACGTTATGGTAACAGCAGCAGTATTAACTTCATCTGATTCTTCATCACTAACATAATAAATTATTCTCTTTTGTGTAGGGAACTCATTCTATGTAATACTACGTACTGTGAAATTAATCACTAGGTACTATAATCATCATATAAAACTTCACATGGCTTTTTGAAATAAGCCACGAGGATGTTTTGCACACAATTGAAACAAAAGCCCAATTTCTGCCGCGACTCTCTATGATAGATATTTATGACTTCTTGGAGTCTTCTTTCAAGAAGCACATCAATTGTTCTTGCAAGCATGCATTTGTATAGAGCCCTATAAATAAAATAACAATAATAATAAGAGCCCATAAAGCACAAACTGTCGATTATCATCAGTCCAGGTTGTTCCATTGAAAGCGAAGGTACAGAACAGAAGAACAATCTTCCAATCGACGACCCGGTTTTTAAAATTCAACTCCAAATATAGCGATGCATGCAGCAGTGTATGGGGTGAAGACTTTACACGCAAAAATATACGACGATACATTTGTAATGTACACTTCATTTGGAACTTTGTACTTCGATTCGGGCACTGGCAATTGTTTCTCACCCAACTCCTCTTATCTATTGAGCATTCTTTTGAACCATTAGCAACGCTGGCTTTATCAAAACAACAAACAAATAAAAGAACATCAAATTATGTTTCTTTTCCTTCCTCAAATATTTTGTGAAGAAAAAATAGGCAATAACATCATATATATATATATATATATATATATATATATATATTTCTCGCTGATCAATTTGTTAAACTTGTGATTAACTCAATGGGAGGAGCATAAACAAACACGGGAACCTTTTTCATTCGACCACTGTCAAGAGAAAATCTTTGCTTTAACTTCGTTCTCTATGGTTTAAGGTTAATCATTACATGGTCCTGCCTTGTGCTGCACACAGCTATATATCCAAGTTGAGGGTCGATTTGCAGATCATGCCAACTTGAGGTGCATTGGCTGTTGAGAGTACCTTCTTCTCTGAGTGATGCTCCCCTTTTGGACTATCATCCATTGCCACAACCAATTTGCACTTGGGATTGAGATGTCGATCGGTCTAAAGTTGTACGTAGTATTAGCAGAAGTTATGTTCCCATAACAAGGATTGATCAGCCGTTATGTTCCCTCGATAGATAGCTCGACTGCAGCTGGATGAGAGTTAGAGTCTTTAAATTTACCTTCGATGTCTCAAGTTAGGTGTGATCACTTCTTTATTAAAAAAAAAATTATAATTTCAAATTAACTTTGTCTCGAGAACTTAAAATAGAACTCAAGTTGCAAGATAGATTGCAACAGTTTGTTTGGATTGTAAGTTATTTGGAATATTTTTACTGTAGCAATTTTTGTGATGTGATATATATGAGATAAAAAGGTAATTGGTAAGATAAAAATGTATATTGAAAATTGTAATGATGATGTAAGCAAATAAAATTGAAGAAATAATGCTCAATCGAAACAAACTCATGCGGTTATATATGCAGATAAGACCTTACATATATATATATATATTTGGCCAATTCATGGCCATCCCTCAAAATCCCTATTCGAGGGGATTGAGGGAGGTCTTCCCAAACTGGATACTCTCAGCTTTTCAGAAAATCAAATATGGGCCTACAATTTTGCCACTTGAGTCGCACCTCTCACCTAGGGCTATTATGGCTAGGACAATGTGCATATCAGCACCTCATATCCACGGATTTTGTATGGTGGTGATAACTCCTGTAAGTCAAGGCTGCAACAGTTGACGGCCGTCTCAAATGATGGAAGGTCGCGGTATGGTTAAAAATTCAATGTACGTCCAGATTAATTGTCCATTTGAGTCTGTTTGACTTGTAAATTATTTGAAATATTTTTATTATAATATTTTTTATAATGTAATATATAAAAAATAAAAGAATAATTTAAAAAATAAAAAAGTGTATTAAAAATTATAATGGTGATGTAAACAAATATATTTGAACAAATAATCTCCTGTCCAAACACACTCATTGATATATTGACATTTATTTGATTATGAGCAATACTAAAAATTGTCAAAGTTGTACGAGTTATTTATGATAAATTACAATTTGTTACAATTCTCTTTACCGGTTCAAAATGATTATAGGGATAATTACATTATTTATGATAAAATTGAAGTTTTTGACAATTGCTCTCGCCTTCCTTAAAGTTTGAAAAAATTACACTTATCTTCTTTGGAGTTATATGAAAATACTATAATAGCTTTCACAAAATTTACAAATTCTAAATAAAAAAAATTGAATTTAAAGATAAAAAAGGAAACATTTTCTCATTAATACCTTTTTATCAAAAAGTTATACTGTAATATGGGCCCTGTTTGAAAGTTTGGTTTTTGGACAAGTTTTTTATCTACTAGTTTTTTAACAACTTTTGCTACAAGAACCCTAAAAAACTTTGCAAAGTTTTTTACCTACACATTTCAAAATATCCAAAACACAAAAAAAAAAAAAAAAAAAAATTCCCTTCCCTTTTTTTCTTCTTCTACCCCCATCCCATCCCAACCCACCACCACCGCCGTTTCCTCCCCCATCCTGCAGAGATGCGCGTTGGCTTCATGAATTTGGCCCAACGTCTCACCGGCCGTTCTCCTCATCTAGGCAACACCCCAACTGCCGTAGGCGACCTCTCTCCGGTAGCCCGTTTAGCTTCGTGGAGAAAGCTAGCCCGTCGAAAAGGAAAAGAGAGAGACAGCAATGGGTTGGTTCTGATTTTGCTGGAGATTTGATGGAAATTCTTGAAAGAACTAGTTTTGAAATGGGTCAAAATTCGGGGATACTATCGCCTGCGCCAGGGACTCTGCCCCCCGTTTCGCTTCCAGGACTCTTCTCGCCGGTGCCAAATCCATTTTTGAACGGGGGAAGGCGCTCTGGTGAAACAGGAGAGGGGGTGGCAGGCAGATGAGAGAGGAAATGGATGGTGGGCAGAGGACAGTGGCGGGGGAAGGGCAGAGGGGAGGAGAGGGGTGGCGGGAGGTGGCATTGGTGGAGTTGCTATTGGGAGGCAGAGGTAACAGGGAAGGGGGACGGGGGACGGGGAAGGAAGAAGAAGAAGAGAGAAAAGAAAAGAAAAAGGAAAGAAAGAAAAAAAAAAAAAGAGAATGAGAAAGAGAAAAGGAAAGAAAAAAAATGGAAAAAAAGTTTTTCACCTTACAAAAATTTCTATAATATTCTACAGTAAAATTTTCAAAAAACTCAGATTTCAAACAGGCCAATGATCTAGTACATTATATTCAATTTTCAACTCCTCTGAATCAGAGTCGATCAGCTAATAGAAGAGGTGTTCATGGGTCGGGTACCAAGCGCCATGGAATGATATTGTGACCCAACCTAGTTCT